CTGCTGAACTTGTCCGCGCTTTGACTCTGAACCCCACCCAGGCCCTGGAGCCTCCTCGGGGAAAGAAGTCGAATTCCAGGGATTCCCTCTTCACCATCCATCCTCAGGCCGCAGGGGAAGATCCTGCGCCCTTCGGCCAGACTCCCCGAACATAGTCCCCTACCGACTCTTGGCTTCTCCGGGCCCCTCGGGCGCTGCTCCAAGCCCCAGGCCGGCATCGCCGCCTCGCGGCACCGGTCCAGCTCCTCCGCATCGCTGCTGCTGCTGCTGCTCTCCAGATCGCTCATTGCGCCAGTGGGCGCCGCCACCTTGAAGCACCGCAAAGGATTGTGGGGAGTGTCTCCAGGAGCGATCCTCTTTCAAGATCCCACAAGGGAGCGGCGCAGCACAGGGCATTGTGGGGATTGTAGTTCTAAGACTCAGGCAGCCATTGGTCCTAAACTGTTATGGAGGTTTCCTCAAACGTGAGAGCTGGAAGGGCCTAAGAAATCAACTTATCTATCCTTGAGGAGGAAAATGAGACCTATAGAGAGGAAAGAATTGCTTAAGGTCACACAAGGGGTTAATGAGCCAGGATTGGTTCCCAGGTTTTGGTAAATCCGTCTGGGCATCAGAAGCACCTTAGGGAACTTTTTAAAATACAGATTGTTGAGTCTCACTAAAAACTAGGCGAATCAGAATCTCCGAGAGTGGGACTCAGGAATCTGTATTTCCTTCAACATCCTAGGGCCTTGCTGCTACTCAGTGTATAATCCGTTAACCAGCAGCACCGGCAAACTCCAGAGCTTGTTAGAAAATGCAGAATCTTGGCTTCAGCCCAGAACTCCTGAATCAGAACTTGCATTTAAACAGGATCTCCAAGTGATTTGTGTGCACGTTAAAGTTTGAGAGGCGCTATCCTAGGTGATTCTGTTGCACAATATGGTTTGGGAAACATTCTGCAGTTTTCTAGCTCAGGACTTCACTCAACCTGCACATCGGAAACATTTGGGAAACTTTAAAATACTGACTCCTAAGATCCCCTCAAGACCAACACATTAGAATCTCCACAGTTAAGATACTCCAGTATAAAATATGAACAAAATCACTTTTGTCTTTGGAATGCTTTTCTTTGTGTTTTATCTTTGAAGCTGAGTGTGTCAAAATTTTTTAAAAATAAAGCTGGCCTCAGCTTTCCTGTTACGAAAGAGAGGAAGGTAACTTATTCATCATTCTATTAAACAAGAATTGGTCCACTACCTACAGTGTGAGCTATACTGGGCTTTATAAAGGATACAAAGGGTGTGGGATGGACTCACCTGTCTGCTCCATGGAAAGGAGGCACTCTTTC